TTCCTTTCCTTTCCTACTTGATGTCTTAATAACTGTCTTCGTGTATTACTGAAAAATTTAACATGACTGCCCTAATCAACTGTTCACATTTTTTAAGTGGTATCAGCACTGTTAATTAACTCAAGTTTTAAGAAGTTGGGGAAGTTGAAAGCTGATGTGCTTTCATTCGGTGTGCTGCTAAGCTGATTTTCATTGATTTGTGCTTGTGAATTAATCAGCCATCCGAGCACTTAGTTATTCCATTTGCCTCTGCACTTTCTTTGCTTGTAAATGATATCTTCGAAGTTTATTAAAAGAATGAGTCATGTTGTAGCTTCCTAAGAATTTTCCCCCTCTGTAGTCATACATTTTTCATGCTGCTCAAATCATAATCTGTATAATGAACGCAGGGAAAATATTGCTATATGGAGCTGCGTCTATACAGCTGAAATCTGGAGATACATATCCTATTATTTGTGTGGCTGGCTGCTCTAATATAAGAACATTTAAAATCTTTTTCAGACTTTCAGAGCTGGGCTAAAAAATTAATGTACTTCCCTGTTTAGCACTCCCCCGACTTGTCTGCGGTTGTGCACAGTCAACCTGCTTCCACCCTGGCTCTGAGTTATGGTGCGCGGCTCTAATATCCTTTCCTTGGGCAGATTAATAGAGGAAGTCCCTCATAAATTTACCAGCGAGAAACTAATTGCTTCCAAAACTTGTACAGTTTCTAATTAGCATGAGTCTGTTTCTTTTGTAGCCCTATTTAAGCACTGTGTGGTTCACCTTGTTCTAATTTTAAGTGTACGCAAAGGATCTGTCTCTGTTGCTGTACATGACGTTCAAATTTCACGTACGTGAATTAGGTCTTGGGAGTGCAGCGTCAGCTGGGACCAGGTGCCATAAACATAGTGTGGCTGCAAATGCCATTTAAAAGAAGCGGAAGTGTTCTTCACAGGGGAAAAACATGAGAATGCAAAACACAATAATCCATAAAATTGTGTGTGCTCTCTTTTAAAGACCGGTGCTTGATGGGGTTTTGTGACTGGAATAAAATAGCTCAGCCAAAGAGCAAAGGTGATGAAACCACCTAGAGAGGTACAGAGGAGTTTGGCTTTTGTCTAGAAGAAAAGCCGTTTCTTGTGACTTTGCCCTTTTGGGTGCTGGTGGGTTTGTGACCTGTGTTGCCATACCACAGGTTAAACCAGTTGGATGGGCCTTTAATGAATTAGATCTGGAAAGAAAGAAATAAGAAAAAATACATCTCAGCAAGCCATATACTGCTGAGCTGATTTATGAGAATTTTACTAACTTAATTAAAGATGAAGCAAGGCAGTAGTGAATTTGAGGTTATGGCTAAGACTAAATCAGTAATTCAGAGGTTCAAGTGATCAAATCTCCAAATTAAGAGCAGCTGATCTCAAAAAGATGAGGCTGAAGTTGTGTGGAGTGGGGTGTGGGAGAACTTGAGGGGTTGCATTCACTGACCAGTGATCGTTGCAGGGCATGGAGCTGGCTGCTGCAGGGGTGGGTGTTGCAGTGACCCGGAGGACCTCAGCTTCTGTTGCAAGTAAATCACCCAAACCAGCAGTGCTCGTGTCTTGGCGTTGTGTAGGGCACAGCAGGAACACGTGTCCCACTCCGACGTGCTCTCCTTTGGTCTGTTTGCAGTATCGGGTGGTTGAGAAGGGAGCTGGAGCAAGAACCTAGTATCTCTGCTGACTTAATACAATTAAATCTGGGATGAAGGTGTCTTTTGAACAATGCCACTTCTAAATTAGCGACTAGTTTTGAGCGTGCTTCCAGAAAATGATCAGAAGAGCTGCTTCCCCAAAGACTCGTGCTGCTGCCTGTTGACACTAGTGAGCTACAGAGCTTTGCAGACCGATGTGCGGTGGGAAACTTCTGTCCGTGCTCTGCCCAAGGGATGCTCGTGGTGCTCGTCACGTCAGCCTGCACGAGCTGGGGACTTCCCACCCCACGGACTAGCTTTTTTTTTTGGGTGCAGATACAATGTGCCAGCACTGTGTGACCTTTACTTCTGCCAAGTCAGGGGAGATCAGGAGCAATGGGGGCTTTGGGAGGTGCGTGAGCGATGGTGCTGGCCTTTTGGCTGGCAGATGGCATTGGGTGGGAGGTCCGCAATCAGTGCAAATCAATCTTATAAAAAAATCCCTCGATGTTTCCTGTGGATGTTCGCTCTGGGGCGATTACTTCAGCTCTCAGCATTTCACAAAGCAGCACGGACTCTTTGTGGAGTGGTAGGATTATAGAAATTCCTCAGTTGTTCTGGTGGCCTTTGACCAAAACAACACAAGCTGCTTTTTAATGTCATCAAGTCAATTCTACTCGTCAGTAAACAATAAGAGTTTCTCTACAGCACCAACTTAAGCCTGGATTTTCACCCTCCCTCTGCGTGTGCGGGAGACGCAGGCAGAGATGGACTTTTTTCCAAACAGTTCTCAGTATTTACTGAATTAATTTAAGCAAAAGATAGCAAGAGTGAGATAAGCTGGAGGGAATTTTTGCAAATGCCTTTATATTTTTGGGTATTTGCTCGTGTACTCAGCCCTGAAAAATAAGCTGTGTGTTTACTGACTCTGTTTGCACAGACTTTACTGTGCCAATGTTATTTTTGTATCTAGCTCATGGCCAGGGGAGATATTGAGCGGTTTGGACAAGGGCCCCCAGTCTCTATATTTTTTTTTTTTTTTTTTTTTTAAACAAGGGTCTGGAGCTCTGAATGCCCGGCAGTTGCTGTAGCTGTCTTCTCCTGTAGGTGAGGTCTGGGGGAAAAGCAGGGAGGAGCACGCTCAATATCTTCCTTAAAATGCTACCACCCCCCCCTGCAGGCACTTGGTGAGCAGCCTGCAGACCTCCATGCGAACAGAGCTGCCGATACCAAGCCAGAGAATTAAAGAATAATCTTGGAAACTGGTGACTTGTGTTTCTTTAGCTAGATGGAGGAGGTTGAGCAGGGTTCTCCACCTGGTTTCTAGAAGCACTTGGCCACGTGAGGCTTCGTGTTCATCCTTTCATGCCAGCGTCGAGGGTCTTGGGTGGAACCTTGAATCGCTGGAGGTAGCAGCAGAGCCAGCAGCAAACCAGTTCTCGTGGTCTGCGCCGTGGTCACCTCTAAACAGCGAGCTCATTGCTGAGCGACTGGGATGCTTCTGCCTCCCAAGGAGTGAATGAACAGCAAAGAGCAGCACCTTCCTCTAGCCTTGAAATTTTCTTGCACTTTTGGAAGTCTTGTCCTAGCTGGAAGTTGGAGGAGCAGTGCTGCCGTGGAGAGGAGCAGGCGAGAGGTGAAGCAGGCTGGATTAGGAAGATGAGGTTTCAGCAGTGCTGTGATGCTGTCCAGGGCGGCCGTCCTTCTTCTCCTGTGGCCCCGTGCAAATCTCTGTCTCCCTTTTTTCCAGACTGTAAAAAGAGGGTAAGAGCACATCCCTCCCAGAGGTGTTGACTTGCTGGCTTTGTTAAGGATCGTTAGGTGCTTGGCTACTGCAGAAAAACAGCTTAGAGCAGAGGGGCAGAAGCAAAGCCCTGTTCCTTCTGGGGAAACTCTGTTTTTGCCCCCAGTGAAGATGTTTTCATCCCCGTGGAGTTGCTTCTGGTTTAGCAAAGGTGTCTTAGAGAAGAGAATGGGTGATGTGGCACCAGACCATGCAAATTCGCCATTTCCGCACCTTTAAAGCCCAATTCCATCCCTCTGGTTGTAACCTAAAAATGAGCACTTGTCTTCAGAAGATCTCAAGGCTCACAGGCATCCTTTGCTTTGTTCCACTTTTGTGCCTTTTTTTTTTTTTTTTAGTGATTTTGCTCTTTGCGCTCTCAAGAATCATACACTTTGTGCATGCACAGAAGAGAAGGATGATTTGCACACTTGCAGATATTTTCCCCCCTTTTTCTTTGGAAGGAAAGACGTCTAAAAAATCTGCTGTTTCTCTGGGCTCAAGCTGCTGCTACCCTGCCAGCATCTGCATCTACACCTTTCTCCTAATGAGCCACATCTCTGCCAGTGCTTGGGCTGGTTACCGCTGCCCGGCGGGACTCTGCCCAGCCCATCCGCGCATGGATGCATAATGCTTTGCAAATGCCCATTTCTTACACCAACACGGGGAGGATCCTATTTTTGCCCTATAAAATGACCAGTAGTCAGGAAGAACCTTGAGATCTCAAAATCCAAACGATCGTATGAAGAGAACTGAGCGTTTTACTCAAAATCTCAAATATTATTGATATTCGGTAGTGCCCCAGGTTAGGGTTACCTGGGTCTCGTTGCATGGGCACCACGGGGAAGACAGAAAGTGGGTTTCAGAGTGCAGGGACTGTCTTTTCATCTGCCAAAATGCTCTTGATCTGGGGCAGTTACAGCAATCGTCTGCAGCTAAAATAGACGGTTTTAATTCTCTCATAATTAAATTGAACAGCTGGAAGCAGGGAGAGCCAGCACTGTACAGCCGGGGGAGCTTCCCCAGGCACAGTTAGGGAGGAGGGCGTGTAGGATGGTTTTACAAGGGCCTGGAACAAGATTTATGTGGATACTAGAGGACAGTGGCAGAAATCGCAGCCTTGGCTTGGAAGGGGAGAGGTCTTTACCTCTGCGGCACATAGGACAGTTATCTCTAGGAGTGTCCCACTGACTTCTTGCACTGGTTGTGTGCGAGACTTTCTTCCAGGCATGTCGTGTTCCAGAACGAAGTGACCTTCTCGAAGGTCCCTTGGTAGCTCAGGGGCACGGGCATCCTCCATTTGAATGCTTTTAAAGCTGCTTTCCAGGATAAAATCTAACCTGTGTTTTACTGCTGGGGAAGCTGGGCACACAGTAGTTTGGTGATGTGTCACTGAGGGAGAGACCGATTTTTGATGCCGTCTCCAAATTTGTTACCTTTCCATAAGATACAGTGTGAAGGCGGGGGGGCAAAACAGACTGTTTTCAGGGTTTGCTGTGGCTGACGTGCTGGCGCTGCCCTGCGCTTGTGCAGGGTTAAGCTGACGGTTTCCGTGTTTCTTCTCAGGGCGTGACGTACTGCGGTGAAAGCTCAGCCAGCAACCTCACCATGGCCAACGTCCCCTGGCACGAGGAGGTGGTGCGCTTTGTCCAGGAGCTGGCCGACCTCATCCCCGACTATGAAATCGCGTGCGAGCACGAGCACTCGAACTGTCTCCTGATAGCTCACAAGAAGGTGAGACTGTGCCAGGGGGTGGGACCAGGCGCTGTATCTTCTCCTTGGAACTGTTGCACAATTGCCTTGTTTCAACACATTTTCTGTCTAGAGTTAGGTGGGTACGTTTTGGGGGGAAAAAAAAGCGTAGCATGTGTTGCAGAGCGGGTTGTGGAATAGTTACTGAAGCCGCCGCGCGTTGCAGCCGGTCGCAGCACTACGGTGGCAGTCCAGGCAAGAAGCATTTAACGGCTCCAGGAGGAGTTCAGTGCAATATCTCCTGTGCTTTGTCATACTCGCTTTGCCTTTTGCGAAAGACAAGAACAAATCCTGTGTAGGTGGGTCAGCTGGCTTTGTCTTGTTTCTATATTTTCATTATGGTTTTCAGTGGTATAGACAGCTTGCTAAGGAAGTTATGCCAGAATAGGCTAGGGTTGTGTTTTTCCTCTTCTGGATCTTTGTGATACCTGCTAGAACTGTAGATCTCCTTCCTTTCAACCAGAGTTAAGATAATGTATTTTTCTTCCTTTGGAGGAATAATTCTGGAAGATGATGTTGGTATGTGGATGTTAACAGAGGATGCTTTCCTTTTGAACTGGAGCTGCCTTTCTGCAAAACTGTTTTGCAGGACAAACGAAGCAGCAAGAACAATTATACGCGTTCTCTATACTAAAGATGGAGAAGAGTAGTGGTGCTGCCTTCTGACACCAGTCCAGCATCCCGTTATGCTACTGGAGTGCTTTGCAGGCCAAACATGTCTCAGCAGCCTGTGTGTGTGTGAAATGTTTTGTTTGAAACTTGGGTTCCTTCATAAATACCATCAACGCAATTTGGAACACAAGTGAAATGCCAAAAAAAAAAATTAATTTTAAAGGATGCAGGATATGAAAAATATCAAGTACAATTTCGCTTTCTGAGCTTTAGAAAAGCTTAATAGAAAGATAATAAAAGTGTATAATAATGTGCTAGCTAGGCAACTGATGGAGCACCTACTTATTATGCTAATTGTGATGATTTTCCTCTTTGCATATTTTTCGCTGGTGTTTGCTGAAGTCACGAGCGCTCTCGCATCCCTCGCTTAAATGGGAGCTGGTTTTAGTGAGTGGCGGTGTAGGGCTTTCCATGCGAGGTCATTCACGGTACACACAGGGGAATAACTGGTTAAAATCACCACTTGCAAAAGATCCGAAATATTTTAAATCCATGTTTGAAAATTGTTAGAATCTCATTGTTGAAAAATTCTGCACAGTTACAAAATTGTTGCTTGCTTTTGCAATTTGCAGTTTTATGGGAACATCTGTAAAGGAGCAGAGAAAAATGGGATACCTGGCACTATTTTTGTTTTAACTCACCTTAAAGTTGCTTTATTTACAGTCTCAGTCTTGGTTGTTGCCACTGGCAACTGTGCCTGAGCAAATCCTTGAATGCAAAATATTCTTTTCCGTTCTAAGGTGAAGGGCCCAGGGAAAGAAAGGAAACAGATTGCCACCTAACTTATTGGTGCATAATTTAAGTAACACAGTAACAAGAATAGATTAATACCAGCCCGGGAGGAGTTCAACAGCTGCTTTGCTTTCCAAAGCCATTAGGAGAGGGCGTCTTTTAGAAACAATCTATACTCGGTACTAAAATAACTAATAAAAAATAAATTTATTTCTATTACGTTTAATTCTGAATTTCAGGCTCCAGTGGAGAACAAAATTTTTCAGTGTATATTATTTGCAGAAAACCTGTACTCTGGGAACAATCAAAGTGTAGTGGGTAATTGCAAAATCAAAGGTTTCTTTAAAAAGTTAAGGAGTTGCAGGAAGACAGTAATAAAAATCATTAGGAAATGTGATTTATTTCACTGTGTTCTTCGAGGTCTGAGTTTTGAGGTGTTCAAACAATGCTGATATTAATAATTTTAAACACCAATATTGAAATGCCAGCCTGTACGAAAGAGTCTGGAAATGTCAGAGAAATAATGCATCTTGCAGCCTCTGCTCCTTGATTTATGGAGAATCATTGACTGGCACCTGCTTACTTGATGAATAATAGTTTAGGACTTAGGCTCTGAAGTCAGGGATTTAGGGAGAAAAAGGGATTTTAGGTGGAGGAAGCTGCAGTTTGTATGTCTGGTGTTATCTTCTTTTCTTGGGAAATGTGATGCAGAGATAGGAGCTGTTGCATTTTTGGGGTACTTCAGTGTCTTAAAAATCTACCATTAGGCTTCCAAGTTTCCTCCCCTCAACACATCCCCTTATTTTTTTCCTCCTGTGGACCAGAAGTGGGTTCCTGGAGTCTGAGTGTCTTTCCGCAGTGATGGGTTAGGTGCTTGCGAAAGCCTTCGGGACTCGGTGAGTCTCGGGAGGTGAGATGTGTCCCACTTAACCTCGGAGACCTTTCGATCTGGCACTCCTGCACTATCCCAGGAGAGCTTAAAAAGTATCATAAACTGAAGCCTTACAGCAAAACATTTGTTTTCCAGTTACCCTTCACAGAGCCCTAAAAATTAACACAGAGAACGCCTGTGCCCCACTCACCGTGACCTGAAAAACCATTAGTTACTGGTATTTCCACTTTTTTTTTTGGTCAACTGGGTATCAGCTTCTTAAGCCTGAAGGACAAGCGAGGACAGCCGGGGTTGAGCTTGCTCTGGGCTCCCTCGGGGGGAGAGCTCCTCTTCCCTGTCTTTTCTGCATCCTCCTCCCAGCTTTCCGCTCCCCCCCGCATGCTGGTTTCCTTCTCTCCTTGAGAGCACCCGCTGTGTTTTGGCTCCATCCTCTTTGATTCTTTTCTTTAGCAACAGTGCTAAATTCTTGAGTAATTGTGTTTGCTTTGTAGCAAATCCTATAAACACCATGGTACAAAAAATCTGATTTATTACAGCGCTTTTGAACTAATTGGCTGAGATATTGAGACAGTGGCAACTTTATAATTTAATAGTGAATTCAAGTAACCTTTTCCAGAGAGAGACCTTAGGCGGCTACTTTTCCTGGGTTGTAACAATAAGTGTATCCTCCAGACGACCATAACAAGTGCCTAAGAAGGGGGAATGCGCTGCAGCTGCCTTGCAGCAAAGATTTTTTTGAATGAAAGTTAGCATCTTGGTAATTTCTAGAATAAAACCCTCTGCCCCACTTTGTCGAATTTGTTTTACGTGTGTGTTTACCACCCGCTCCATTGTGTCGAAACACTTGCCTGCCAATTATCTCCTATTAATGTTCATTTAAATATCTACCTCACTTTTGCAAGTGGGTTGTTTTCCAGCCACATTTTCCTGTTGCTTTACAGCCACGAGTTTCTTGTTAGTGCAATTTGTATCGTGTGCTGCTGCTTGGCCTGGTCCTTAGCAAGTCTGCTGGTACGTGTGAGCATCCCTGCCTCTTCCCTGTGATGCTGGGATTGATTTCCATGTCAATTAGCCATGCATAGCACAGGGAATAGTCCTGAAATCCTGTTGCTTTTTGCTCTCTTTGGAGGTCTCAGTTAAAAGGGTGAAATGGATGGCTGGTGGGGTCAGAAAAGTGGCTGCCGTCATCCTTTTTTGCCTTAATAAACGGATACACCTGAATTCCACAAGCAGATCCAAGTCCAAATCCTGGATCCAGACGTTCCCTCGTGGTGCAGATGCAGTCCTGTGCCCCGGACCTCCCTTGGCTCACCAGCCGGGTTATTTCCCCGGTGGATGTGGTCTGGGTTAGCGTTGCCTTTTCCAGCGCAGCAGGGTGAGCCTGGCATCCACAAAATGACCCAAGGCAGATGCTTTTAGGAAGGTCCCTGTAATCATTTCATTTCCCATAACCAAACTGCAGTGCTGAGGGTACACAGGGTACCTCCAAGGCAGGTGTCATGGGTAGTTTGAACTGAAATGAGTTGGGGGGAGATGGTAGCTTGGCCAAAGGTGCTCATCCCTCTCCATCAAGCAAGAAATCTTCCCAGCAAAGAGGGAATCGGCCTTTTCCTTCCCACTGGGTTTTCCAGCACTGCCCATGTCTGTACCGTGGGGGCTCAGATGGGATGTGAAGGCTTCGCGTGCGTCCTGGCTGCACTTGCAGAAGGCTTAAGAGGTTGGGTGAAAGGCGTTGAAGTTGTTCCATGCTGAGCATTTCATCTATATTTAGGGAGGAAAAGGAAGCACTTAACTACCAGCTGCAGATTGACTAACAAGGGTTATATTAGAGAAAAATAGTCCATCACATTTTATTTCCTTCCTGCCTCGCAAATCATTTGGAGAGTGTTAGGCTGTCCTTGCGATCCAGCATCCCAGATCCAGAATTTGGATCACGTTCTCTGCCTGCTCGCCCATCAGTTACCCTGTGCCTGTGACAGCATTACAGTGCAAGGGGAAAAACAAACTTGGATGGCTGCTTCTTGTCAGAAGGTCACCAAATCGGTCTAACATCCCCGTGTCTGCAGCAGACGCAGGGGACGGGGTTAGTTCCCAGCTGAGGACAAGGTGGCTCAGTAGCCAAAAAACAGCCTTAGTGCAGGCACGAGTACGAAATGTTATGTTTCCTGAAGGTTTTTTTTCTTTCCGTTGTCTCCTTCCAAATAGGAAAGTGGCTCTGCTGTGCTTGATCTGTTAGTTATTAAAAGGAGATCACAGTTGTGTTAAACTAATCCATTTTTCATCCATCGGAATTAAAACTGTCTGGATGTAGCCCTGGCTTAATTGGCAGACGAGATGTTCTGCTCTGCAGTGGATAGGGATTAAAAAAAAAAAAAAGAATCCGCAATAATGAATCTTTTCTTTAGAATAACTCACGCAAGATTAGGTGTAATGAATAGAAGCTAACACGTTGCAGAGGAACGGTCCCACGGGCGTCGGGCCCTGCAGCGCTGGCGGGGGCCGGTGCCCGCCCAGCAGCGCACGGGTCGGGTCAGTGTTGGTTTGGTGTCGCCTTTTTGTTTCACTCTCTCGGAAAACACAATAGCAATTCCCCTTTCCAGGCATTCTAGTTGCCAGCTTTGGAAGGTGTTTCATCTGCTTTAACGTGTCTGATTGCTAATGAGCACTTATTTAAGTCACTGGATGT